TTCTTTTTGCCCTGTACCTAGAGCCCTTTTGCCTGAGCATACTTGAAAGCCAGAACATCCGGGGAATTTTGATTAAGAAGGCTGAAGTGAAGGTTCTCGCCTATGCTGACGATGTGGCTGTTTTTTTGTACCGATAAAAAAAGTGTAAAAGAAGCCATGACCGTAACCGAAAAGTTTTGCAATATTACCGGTGCGTCCATGAACCCTGCGAAGTGTAACGGGTATTGGTATGGATCGTGGGCTACCATGCCTTCATCTTTTGCCGGTATAGCCTGGGACCGAGGCTCGCTTCAGTATCTAGGAGTTCCATTATCACATATCAGAAGCAGTAGATCGTATTGGACATCGATGGCAACCATATTGAAAAGAAAAGCTGACGCTTGGAAAGAACGCAACATGTCCATGTTTACTAGAGCTAGTGTGTGCAACGTGTTTCTTGTGTCCAGGCTCATGTACGTGTTGCAGGTGATGCATTGTGCCCGTACGAACCTTCAAAAATTTCATCGTATATTCCCCACCTTTATTTGGCGTTCATCATGGGAACCTCTCAAGAGAGACAACCTTTTCCTTCCTCTTGAAGCAGGCGGCTTGAATCTCTGCCTTTTATTTGTCCGGCAGTTAGTGTCACGTTTCTTTTTCTTTAAAAATGCTGAGCATCCTTTCCTGAGAACCTTTCTCCAGCTACGGCTGGCTAACAGTCTTAATTATTTAATTGTTTCTAGTGACGATACATTTGACAGGAAACCTTGGGGCTTCTTAAAGGAGGTTGTAGACACGTTGGGTTTTCTTAAGGCACGTTTCTCGTTAGAGTACTTATTCAATGTCACACACAAGCAGCTATCAAGAGCGATAATCGATAGCATATTCCCTGTCCCACTTTATCGAAGCCGTTTCTTTATTGATCCTCAAAATGATGTCCTTAATAGGGTGACAAAGATGTCTGTACCGCCATCAACCAAGTAATTTTTCTTCAAATTACATACTTCAACGCTGCCGGTAAAGACTTGGCTCCAAAGCAGGGGAATATATGTTCCATGGTCTGTAAACTGCAGGTTATGTAATAAGCAAGAAACTATAGAACACTGTTTTATTTATTGCAATGACGCCTTTTTCTTCTGGGACGTGCTACAACGAACTTTAAAAAAGGACCTCGACATTACGGACCAAAATATCCGCTTCCTTCCATTTTCCAAGGATGAAGTAGTTCCATATGACTTGTTTGTACTATTAGGCCTCCACAGTCTATGGAAACGTAGAATGATTGATCGAAATGCTGAACCGCCTCGTACAACAAAATCTATTTTTGTGGAGCAAGTGGCTCAACTACGCAGTGCATATGCAGCGCAAAACGTTCAACCTGACTGGTTTCCACTTCTAGATGCATGCATAGGATTGCCAGATTTTTGAAAATTTGTTTGTTTGGGGCTTTATTAAGCTTAATAATTATTTATGTCAATCCTCTAGATCTTTACGGGTTGATATAGTTTGAGTTTTGTGTGTCTTTCTATTATCTGTTGGTTGTAGCGTGTACCAATATCAAACCAAATTGCCAAATGTAAAAGATGCCAAGTTTGATTGCGAGATGAATGTGCCTTGTATATATTATTTATTTGTGTAAATGTACGCAGTCTTGCCGAACGAATGTGTCTTTTGTTATATAACTTCCATGTAATAAAGATATAAAAAATAAAACGGATGGTGAAATCTAGTTCCTAAGAAGCGGCGTAGCATAGCGGTTACCGTGTCCGATTTGTACGCAAGTGGTCGCGGGTTCGATCCGCGGTGGTCCTGCTTTTTTTTTTCTTTTTTTTTCTCGAACATTTTGTTTTATTGAGGCATTTGGCAATATTTATGAGTGCGTATAGCTTTACTCTTATATAAATGCTGCCCTTGATGATGAAATTCCCTTGGCAGTGGCAGTCAGACGTCATCTGATGGACCATCAGATGACGTCTGATGGTCCATCACGTTTCACCAAGGCTGCTGACTGGCAGTCAGTGTCCCAAATTACGTACCTTGATGGAATTTTCAATAGGGTGGGCAAATGAGTATGCCCTGTATTTTACTTGATGACCCTCTGGCAGACCTTGGTTTCGTCCAAATATTTTTGAAAATGCTCTACACAACAACTCTTTCCACACAAATATAGTAGGTGCAAATATCCGCAGTTGAGTGAAAGGTTTGCACCGGGCTCGATTCGAAGGGGCACCTTTTTTACACCATGATCAATATAGTATTGCCCACTAAAGGCAAGACACAATACCACAACATTTAATCTGCACTTAGCCCATCGACATGAACAAATAAAATTTAAAAAAAACTTTATTATGATTGTACACTTGCATTAAAATAAATTTCACATTCCTATTGCTACGGAATCTCAGAGCAGCACACATTATCTGCATGCCACCCCGATGGTTAAGATGCTGGGAAATTTTTTTGTCAAAATTTTCAAAACATATTATAATATATATCTTACTGATCTAAACATGAATTAATTCATCCAAGTACGAAACCGCCCAGATAAAGACTTGCAACACAACTGAAAGAAAGACGATTATCATGCATCGTTGGGCAGTTGAGGTCATCAAAGCAGGCATATCATCACATAACCTAGAAAAAAACGGCCCCTCCTTGCAGCCTGGCCAGTCGCGACACCCAGGTGCCACGGGCGGGCAGATGTAGGCAAGTGGGTAACAAAAAAGAAACAAGCTTACACAAGGATTAGACTATATAGGACCCTACTGGTGCCTTCACTGTGTCGCAATCACCAGTAGCCATTCGGACGTGCTCTTCTGATGCGGGAATATTATGTATGTTGCACATGACGCAAATTTTACAGATTCCGGATACGTATTGGGCCACAGCTTCGAAATCATTTCTATATTCCACAAAAAAACATTTTTTTCTAACTAAGGTCTTTGGCTCAATTTAAAATAAAGATGATGAGACTTTTATATTATTTTAGCTAATTGGTGAATAATGACCTACATCTACATAAGTAGGAATAAGACGGACGTGGGAATGTATGCAAGAGATTAGAGCAAAAAGGCAGGCTAGCTAATGACGAAGCATAGTAAAAAAAACGCAGAGACAAGGAGCTAAAACGGACAAGAACAACACCGTCTCAGAGATCTCATTGGAGGTGTTGTTCTTGTCATTTTAGCTCCTTGTATCTGGCTTTTTTCTACTATGAAACGTTTGAACAGCCCCTCTCTGCGTTATTGGCACACCTTAGGCCGTCCTTGATCTATTTGCACTTTGGTGATTTTTATATTCATTTCGGAATAATGTTGTTTTTATTATTTTGATTTAACTTGTTATCAGACAACAAAATTACTTTACAAGTAATTTTGTCTTTAATTCTTACGTTTCTGATTACCACGATTTGTTAAATTTCTACTCTGTTTTCTTTTAGTCGGTATCTTTGTAGGTTACTTATACCAATTCAAACTATTGGAAATACATGTTTTATTGTAGTGTTTGTATTTTATACTGATGTAGCCCCTGCGCAAAATTTATAGTGTGAAATAATTTTTGCTTTTTTCCTGCTTCATTATTGACAGCACCCTCGGAAATGCATTTGCCTCAATATCGTACTGTCACAAATTCTAAATAACTTAAATTTAATCGATGCAATGTGTGCATCACCAATATTGTTTGTACTGTCAGCATGAAACACTGCCAACCTAAGCAACAGAAAGATAATTGCTAAAGTTTTTAAAAGAAACATTCGGAACATAGCTACTTTTTTGGACACATATGCCGACATGCGTCACTGACATCCCCAACAAAACAAAACAAAAAAATCATTCTGGAGGTGGAACATTATTTCTAGAGGCTCTGAAAGGCTCCAAATGCAGTTTACTGTTATATGAGACGCAAACAAATAAAAAAAAAAAATTCTAACCAACCTTATACAACCTACAGCAAAGGCTGGACGTACATTTGGCGGTTGAAAAAAACCGCAGTGAAAGCTTATTTTTAAAGCTAGGAGCAACTTTACTGGCAACAAACTATCTATCAGTGGTTCCCATTGAATGACATTTTTCTCACCAGGCTTTGAAGATCTTTTCAGTTTTATTCTCGCTAAATATTCTTCCCAAAGTTATTTGGTGTTCACAAGTATAGACGCCATGGGAACCATACACTGTAAAAAAATTTTGCGCCATTTTACGGCAAAAGTTGCCGGTTCAATATTGCCGACATATTTTCCGTAATCCAGAATATCCTGTGAAAACAAGACATATAATTTCGTAAAATGACGGAACGTCCATAGCTCACTTTACGAACAATTATCCATTTTTCATTTTACGGTAAAAGTTGCCGGTTCAATATTGCCGACATGGTTTCCGTAATCTAGAAACTGAAACGTCCGTAAAAACATGGCATATATTTCGTAAAATGACGGAATATCTGTAGCCCACATTACGGACAGCTATCCGTAGGAAATATAAAAGCTGTTCGCACTAAGTAACGAAGCATTATACCTTTCCGCCTTATATAAGGCCAAAGCTACGAGCCATTCGTACCACCTGCACCTCCGATACATCTGCAGACTCCCCTCGCAGAGCTCTAGCCCTGCCAGGGGTTTCACCTAATGTATCAAAGGTGCAGGATTGGTGCAGACGGCTCGTAGCTATGGCCTTCAAAAAGACAGAAAGGTATAGTGCTTCATTACTTAGTGTGAACAGCTTCCGTGTCCAAGTAAGCCGAAGTCACACGAAGCTTTGGGGTACAGATTGGTATGGAGAGTTCATAGCTCCGTCATTCAATATATGCACTTGTATAATTTTTCATCCTTAGACAAAACACGCAAGAGTTGATGTTTTGCGAAAGAAAAAGAGCACACAACCTGTACTACTCCTTGCCAGCATTATGTTGTGTGAGATCAGCTGTTCCTATAGGCAACAGCTGAACAAACAAAGCAATTAAGAAGTTTCACCACGATACCTTTATTGGAAGAGGGCATGCCTTGCTTTAAGTTCGGAGAAATTTTACATTATAGTTGTCCTTGCGCTGGCCATGTAGATACCCCTCCTTGCTTGTGCTTATAGTTGTCCTTCAATTGAAGACATCTTCAGTATCTTCATAGTGCATGTAAGGGCAGCTTGAAATAAAGAATAGTAGGGGATTCGAAATCAATAGACAGTCACAACAAATTGTATATGACATACATGGTTAAAGTCTGCAAGCAATGTGCTTATCAACTATCCCAGCTATCCACCTTTCTTTATGACATATAAAACAAACCTTTCATAAATTGAACCAAAATAAAATTTGCATTGACTTCAATACCTAATACAAGTGTTTGAGAAATAAAAGAAGCGAATTAAAATTGCACAACTATTCAGTGATATTAAGCACATTAAATTCAGCCGGATCTCCCTTAGTTTACACAGTAGGCTCGCAATAATTCAAACTTGGATTTCAAAAACTTGGGTTGTCCTGCTACGTTCTCAATGTATTCACAAGCCGCTTAACTCGAACGGCGCTTTCGTGCAATTCACACTTTTTGTTCTCGCGGCACCGTTGAGAGCACTTCTTTCCGAGTACTGTGGAGAAGGTGTTGCTTTTCCGCAGTGCACCGGTGCTCGGTACGAAGTGCACTCAACGAGGCTAAAGCAGAGTAGAGCTGTATATAGACTGTTTTACTAAAAGATGGCGAGAGGAAAGGGCTACTGGCGTTTTCCCCCTTGCTGCAGCGTTTGAAAGAGTGAAAATTCCAGATGAGAGGCTTCGCTGGTGTTGGGTGTAGGCATTGCTCGCACTTTGTTTGCGCTTTCTTCTCTGTTTTAAATTCCCAAACTTAATTAGAGCCACGGGCTTTGATAGCGACAGTCCCCCGGTCATCGGGACATCATTTCTCGGTTATAGGCTGCACGAAGAACGACAGAAAGTGTCGAATACTGCCGAGGACCTATGTAGCTTGCATGAAATCCGACAAAACGAGTGCGGCTGCAATGTCTTTAAGCCCCATCTCTTTCCACATGACCCCGAAAAGACCTTTCCCCAACGCCATCCTCTCGACTGTGCTCGGAACATTTTGTGAATGAAGCGTGCACCGCACCTAATGCTGTACCGTCAATGAACATGGAGTATGCTCGCAAGGTGCGTGCAAGTGTTCTGCTGATAATTGCTGTTTCAGCTTGTAAAATGTTGTAACTGAGTTTATCTTAATATTGATATTTTGAAGTGTTTACAATGATTTTATTTTATTATCTAGAGCACATAGTTGAAGGCTGATTACCGCTGTTGGGTGTGGCTGGAAATTGTCGAAAAGCTGGTCCTATTGCTTTTGCCTGAATCGCGATCTCCTGCGCGATACCAGAGAGCCGTGAACCTCTGTTGACCGTCACAGCGCGACTAGATTATTTTTATTTTCAAAATTAGTACCTATTGTAGCTGGAAAGAAACCTTCAATTTATGTTGCTGAAAGTTGAAACATGCTCATGCATCGATGCTTATAAATGTAAAAACATGCTCCTGCATAGGTGTTTATAAACATTTTATTTGAGGATCCCGTGCCGACAAGTGTGTCTTTTGTCGAGAACTGAAAACAGCAAAGTCGAGATGCGCCTATTGCCGGAGCGAGTCGATCAATGATTCAACGATTCGAAATAGATGCATAAGCATGTTTAAACTTTCAGCAACAGAAATTGAAGGTTTCTTTCCGGCTACATTATGTACTAATTTTAAAAACAAGAAGAATCCAGTCGCTTTGTGATGGTCTACATAGGTTCACGGCTCTCTGGTATTGAGCAGGAGATAGCAATTCTGGAAAACTGATAGAACTAACTTTTCGACAATTTCCAGTCACACCCGGCAGCGGAAATGAGCCTTACACTAAGTGTTGTGGTTGATAAAACTGAGTCATTGTAAACACTTCAAAATATCAATATTAGAATAAATTCAGTTACAAAAAGTTGCAAGCTGAAACAGTAATTATAAGGAGAAAACTTGCACGCACCTTGCGAGCGTACCCCATTTCATCGATTGTACAGCGTTAAGTTCGGTGCGCACTTCATTCACAAAATGTTCTGAGCACAGTCAAAAGGATGGCATTAGGGAAGAGTATTTTCGGTTAACGGACGCAACCCACTGCTGCCGGAAATCGGGGTCACGTGGAAACAGCCGCACTCGCCTTGCCGGATTCCGTACAAGTACATAGGTCCCCAGAGAGTATTCAACGCTTTCTGTCGTTATTCGTGCACCCTATAACCGAGCAATGGTGTCCCGATGACAAGGGGATCATCGCCATTGAAGCCCGTGGCTCTAATTAGGTTTGGGAGTTTAAAACAGAGAAGAAATGCAGGCACCCAACACCGGCAAAGCCTCTCACCTGGGACTAACTCTTTCTAACGCTCGAGCAAGGGGGAAAGTGCCGGTTTTTGTTTTGAATTCAAGAACTTTTTTAGTGTTTCTTTAAACATGGTGCCTATGAAGTACTTCATGAACCTGAAATACTATACCCGTTTTCACCTCAAGAACCGTAGTAAAACAAGATTTCCCACACTAGTGTTAAATTAAAACAATGAGAGCAAAGTTGTTTCGTTAAGAGGTGCTCACCTGATAGGCATCTGTGGAATCAGGCATTGACTCATTGCTCCCAGAACTGAAGAGCTGGCTCTGTAAAAAAAAAGTATTGTTCACCTTCCTGTGCATATTTTGCGCAATTGGAAGAGACAAGAGATATTGTTAAAAATTAGCAATCCTTATGGGCCCGTTTGCTCGAAGCGCTAACCGCGGCTAAAGTTAGCTGCAGCACCTAGGAGAGGGATTTTGAAATCAAGTGACGGGCTCAGTAGGGATGCGGGGAAACATGGCGGAGCCCCGGTGACTGAGCGCCGCTCGCTTTGGAACTAATATGTCGTTGTAGCTGCAATATCGGGCGCATAGTCAGCAACAAATGCTGCAGTAGGCTTTCACTTTGCCTTACCTCACTTATATTGCAAAGCATGCGCAATGACCTTGCCGCAATTGTTAGATAATCTTTCGATTCTGGCAATTCCTAAGCCTGATGAACGCGATAATTGTCAGCATGGCAACGTCTTTGGAAAGCGGATTGCCTTGACTCAATCGGCCGGGTATTGATAGCACACAAAAACAGACAGCGTCCCAATAGACCTTTTTCTAAATTACCCAAGCATCGAGGAGAACGCTGGAAGTGTAATTCTACGGTCTGCACGCGCTGGCCTCCCTCTTATAAAAGATTCGAAGTATATAATCATAATAAGGCTTTGACGAACGCACGTGCAAGGCAAAATTTGTTTTAGACTTTTTGCTTTTGAACAATTACTACTGCAGACGCCAGCACGTGCAACGTGTGTAACTACACTCGTAGCGTGCACCTCGGTGCTTGGGAAATTTAGAGAAAGGTTTATGGGACGCTGTCAGCTTTTGTGCGCTATCAATACCCGGCCGATTGAGTCAAGGCAATCCACTTTCCAAAGACGTTGCCATGCCGACAGCTACCGCGTTCATTTAGGCTTAGGAATGGCCAGAATCAAAAGACTATCTAAACAATGCGGCGAGGTCATTGCTCGCGCTTTGTGATTTAAGTGAGGTAAGGCAAAGCGGAAGCATACTACACCATTTGTTGCTGACTAAAGCGCCCGATATTGCAGCTACAACGACATATTAGTTCCAAAGCGAGCGGCGCTCCGTCATTGGGGCACCGCCATGTTTCCCCGCATCCCTACCGAGCCCATCACGTGATTTAAAAATCCCTCTCCTAGGTGCTCTGGCTAACTCTAGCCGTGGTTAGCGATTTCGAGCAAACGGGCCCAGATGTGCAAACTTTACTGTTCAAGGCTGCTAGGAGCAGTTTATGACACTAGTGTTCAATCAAAACAATTAGAGAAAGGTTGTTCCTTTAAAGTAAAAACATTATTTAAAATTGGAAGTGACTTTTACCTTCAAAGTGCTATAACTAGGGGTGTGCGAATACCAAATAATAGTTTTCGAATTGAATACCGAATCGAATCAAGAAAAAAAAAGCCGAATATCGAATCGAATATCGAATAGTGATTTTATTTGTAGGAATTTTTCAAAGTGTGCTGCAAATGAGACTATTATATGTGCAGAGTATGTGCCTGGTGTAGAATATGCATCTTGTACGGAACAAAAGCAAAAATGTAAAAAAAAAACTTCTGGTAAAAAAATAAAGCAGTTGCTGTTGGACGTTGGCCACTAAAGATCCAATTTTATGGCGCAAACATAATCTATCTACCCTAAACGTCACGAAAAAAAAAGTTACAGCCACGCGTGCCTTCTCGTTAAAAGCACAACCTAACACCGCGACCTTTTTAAAAAAATATTTGTGTATCTCAGAAAAGGGACATTTTGCGATATTTGGTCTCCATTTTAAAGAAGGAAAAGGACACCGGGGATTCTATTTTGCATAAATAAACAGATAGGTGTTAAATCTGAGTAAACAGGCTTAAACAATATATAATCTGAAGCAAGGAAACAAAACTTGGTTAGGTGGCGCAAGTCACCGTCCAACTGCCGCTATGCATCAATTTTTCCGTCTATCTATCCTGTTTTAGAGAGCCTTGATTTAAAAGAGGGAGCAAGCGAAACTGAAACTACGAAGACTGCTCCAGCGCAGGTTGGTCGTAAGTGTGCATGTGTTGTGTTGTCGCGTGGAAAGAAGGCGAGCAAACAAAAGAGCGACGAAACCTGCCCTGCCTGCCCGATCCCGATCAATGCTTCCGTCTTTTCGTCACCTTCTCGCAGTTCGTAATTCAAACGCGGCTATCGAACAGTTGGAAACCCTCTAAAATCTAGGCACACTATTTTTCCGTTGAGTTTTGTTCAGAATCAGAATTTGCGGCTTACAGCTCCAAAAGAACGACGACGATAACTCGGCTGGTTTCGTCAGCGTGGTTAACGTAGTTTTCTTTGTGTGCTCGTGCTTTCGCCGATTTCCGTGAATGCGGCAAGTGTGTTCTACATCGGCGCTCGTGAAAAACAATTAGGCATGGCGCAGCGTAACGGGATGTTTCGGTTGTGATTCAAGGGAAGATTGTGTCACGATCGTGAGTAAATCGGCGTGCTATGAAGTTTGTGGCTTTCGTTAATTTCCTTTTTTCTAACCTGCGCGTTAGATTTTTGTGGAATGGTAGGACCAAGAGGTGTTTCTCGCATGGTCTGTCTAATATCACAGCGCTTACATCGGGAGAAAGAACGACTTTTTTGTCAGCTCCGCGCCGACCGCGCGTCTTTGGCCAAATATATTGAATATTCGAGTGACCAAATACTAGGAATTCGATTCGCGAATCGAATTATTCGGGAACTTTCTATTCGATTTAATTCGTATATTCGAGTATTTGCACGCCCCTAGCTATAACACATGAAATGCAGTATTTAAGAGGTTGTTTTTTTTTTATTTTGAACTGAATGTGTGTATAGGCCACATGACGTCAGATCAAGCGACATCAATTTTTCTGCCAAATTTAGTGGGGTAGCTGAATTGGTACAGAGGTCACGTGACATCCATTTTTCCGCTACATTTAGCAGGAACCTTACCTTGTAGGTCACATGACGTCAGATTACATGACAAATTTTTCTGCCAAATTTAGTGGGTAAATTGAATCGGTGTGTAGGTCATGTGACATCAATTTACCCGCTAAATTTAGCGGGGAACCTGAATTTGTCTGTAGGTCACATGACGTCAGGGCACATGAAATCAATTGTCCCTCTAAATCTAGCAGGGGAACTGAATTAGTGCATAGGTCGGATAGCATGAATATTTCCGCTAAATCTAGAGGGGGAAATTGAATGGTTGCATAGGTCACATGACGTCTATTTTTCCGCTAAATTTATAGAAGAGCTTCAAATTGTCTGTAGGTCTCGTGACATAAATTTTTCTGCTAAATTTAGAGGGGAAACTGAACTTGTGTAGAGGTCACGTAGCAGCAATGTCCCCGCTAAATTTAGCGGCAAATGCACGGATGGATGGACAACATTTTAGGATTGGGGGGTAATGTTGAAAAGCACTTAATGTTTTTAAAAAAAAAGCTGCTCACCTGATGCGCATCTCTGGAAACAGGCTTTGACTAGCAATGAATTGTAGCCCCAGGACTGAAGTGCTGTTTGAGTAATGCTTCCTGCACAAACAATTAAAAAAAAAAGTAAAAACACAAGCCCCAAAATTTTCTTGCCATTCTCCTTCCCCTGCTTTTCTGTGCATTTGATTTATTTCATCCATTGGCAAATCCTAAAGATTTTGAAGTGCTTATCCTACGTCTTTCTGTTAAGCCCGGTTCATGTTGCAGAAATTTGGCCGAATGGGTAACCCGGAGCATTCATTGTTCGTCGAGACACTTTTCCTTTTACTCCATCCCGTTCTTGACAGCAGAAACTACTCTCTCTTGACCACAGTCATTAAAGGGATACTGAACTGAAATTTGGATTTCGCAAAATAAGGCTGTAGAAGCGTTGAACGGGACGCTACGAACACCAGAACATCACTCGAGCATTGATATCTCAAACGGATGGCCGTACTTTTGGAAATGAAGGGCGTGAACAAGCGAGGTCTTTGACGTAATTGTCCTACGGGAAAATTTGAGAATGAGGGGAAGCATCCTCGCTTCTCTACTCCTTGCTTCGGTTCACCAACCCGACACGAGACGTAGCGAGGTGGAGAGGGAATGGGAATCGTGACGTGCCTTGTCTCGTCGGCCTTGTCAGCCGTGTTGAATTGCGAATTTCTTTTCTAAAAATACGGCAATCCGTTAGAGATATTGCTGTATGAGTGATGTTTTTGGGTTTTGCAGCGTCCCGCCTATCCGTCCAGCCTAGTTTTGTGAGCTCGAAATTCCGATTCAGTATCCCTTTAAGGAATTTTCAGATCATACACAGGTGGTTGGCATTGCCAATACAAGCTCATGTTTGAGCATGGAATGAGCAGACGTCTGCAATCTGCAATGTCTGATCTACAGGAAGTTTCTGTTTTACCAAGACTCGTACCATTCCATTGTCGAAGAAAGGAGCAGGCACTGTTAATAAAAACTTACTTTCATTACACTGTTTTAAAGAACAATTGCTCTTTCTTAAGATCAAATGATCATATTAGGATAATTGACAAAGAATGGTAGATTCACATGATGGATCGAATCGCAATTTTCATCCGTGGACCGTTTGTCACGTTACCATCATGTCGGCTATTCCTACGATTTGCACCTCGTCAGCGGACGCCCAGACTGTGAGGGCAGAGTGCCTTTTCACGCGCAGATTTCTGGCGGGTGAGTAACAGTAAAAGCGTTTATGTACAGTAGAGTACCAACAGCACAGCAATATTTTTGTTTTCGAATAAGCCAAACAAAGATAGTGCACCATTGTGTTTTGTCATTCGCTGTTTCATTTTGTCGAGCCATTCTTATTTTCCACTCGTGAAAGAAGCTGCAAGAACTTTGCCCAGTTGATGCGCCGCAGGTTCTGGTACTCCTCCAGGTCGGTGTCAAGAAGCTTCTGTGAAAACCTGCCTGGCACGCTGCAATCTTTCCTGCACGTCCACCCAGTTTTCCACCCAGCAAGACCTTTCTTACGGCTATAGTGTGCTGAAGAGTGGTGCACAAGGAAGCAATGCTTAAAGGCATTTCCAATTGCCTCTCCGCGACCCCAAAACTTAATCGCTTTAATGCTGAAGCCTTCTGGAGCAGAACTGTACTTGTGTCATGTGGTTAGTAGAGCTAGTGGTGCTTCACGCTAAGCCTGTCACAATGCTTTGTCTCGCTCGGTATGTAAAAGCGGCACACAACGATTCTTTTTCATGATAGCACCGTGATCATTGTCGCAAACATCACTTCTGACCTTGGAAAACGGTGCCACAGTGCGATGTTGGCCTTTTGTGGAATTGCAGGGCCGCGAAAAGGTTCAGTCTGTCCTCGCTGTCATCAGCTCATCTCCTCCGTGTGGACGCACTTGGGGGACTGACGTTCCGTGGACGTCTTGCAAGTGATCAATCCATCTGCAGATAAGCTCGTCGTGTGAATCGGTCATAAGTAGACTGCAAAGTCTGCACTCACTTAACATTTCTGTTGACGTTGCCTGCACGTCATGAAAGTGTGTCTTGTATCCAGTTAGATATTCTCAAAGGAATGAGGAAAATACATAATAATGCTGAACATTGTTCACCGTAAACACTCAACTTTTTTCTTTCCTCTAGCTTTTTATTTTATTTATTTTTTTTATTTTTATTGCACGTACGGCCCAGGCCGCACATGTTTCCACAATCAGTCACCATCATTAAAAACCTGCACAATAAAAAAATGCGTGCTGCCATTTCTAAGCAGCTACGAAAGCTACGAGAGGTATGCTCAGAGCAAACCTGGGATGCCCAAAAAGAAACAAGGGGTAAGGTGTGGTGCACGGATGAGCTACACTCATCCCAAAGGGTTTAGGGACGGCTGTATAGACCGTTTTACTGAAAGAGGGCGAGAGAGAAAAGGGGAAAGCTACCGGCGCTTTCCCCCTTTCTGGTTGTGTAGAAAGAGTGAAAGTCCCGGATGAGAGGCTTGGCCGGTGTTGGGTCTCTGCAGTGCCCCAACTTCGTTCGCACCTTCTTTTCTGTTTTAAATTCGCACACTTAATTACAGCTACGGGCTTCGATGGCAACAGTCCCCCAGTCATCGGGACACCATTGCTCGGTCATAGGGTGCTCGAATAAAAACAGAAAGCGTTGAATACTGTCGGAAGACCTATGTAGCTTGCAAGGAATCCGGCAAGGCGAGAGCGGCTGCAATGGTCTTTAAAGGCCCGTTCACACTCCCGCGACTGAGTAAAACCGAGAGAGACCAGACCGCTTTTTAAGCCTCTTGCGATCTCTTAGGACCAGCTCCGCGCTGCAGCCCATCCGGTCCTGAGAAGTCGCAAAAGGCTTAAAAACCAGTCTGGTCTCTCTCGGTCGTACTCGGTCGCAAGAGTGTGAACGGCGTTTAAGCTCCATGCTTTCCACATGACCCCGGTTTCAGGCGGCAGTGGATTGCGTCCGTGAACCGAAAAGGCGTTTCCTCAACGCCAACCTTTTGACTGTGCTCGGAACATTTTTCGTGAATGGAGCGCGCACCGAACGCTGTATCGCCAATGAACATGGGGTATGCTCGCAAGGTGCGTGTGAGTTTTCTGGTGATAACTGCTCTTTCAGCTAGTAAAATTTTGTAACTGAATATATCTTAATATTGATAATTCGCAGTGGTGACTGACTCGATTTTATCGTCTACAACACTTAGTTGAAGGTTCGTTTCCGCCACCGGGTGAGGCTGGAAATTTTAGAAATGGTAGTTCTATCGGTTTTCCTGAATCGCGATCTCCTGCGTGATACCAGAGAGCTGGCAAAAGCGCTCCTTGGAGTGGCGCTGGTGGGTTGTTTCCATTGATTGGGCGCTTTGAAACGCTGGACGGTCGCTGCAGGGTATGGCAGTTTAGCTCCGAAATGAAAGGCACTTGGAAGTGAGTGGCACCGTCTCTCGAGCTTACACAATTAAGGCTGAACTGCATGTACGCGATTTAGCAAGCAACGAACATTTCTCACTGTAGCTCGGTTTTTCGATTTCTAGAAAACGTTGCTCATCGCCTTGGTCGCTTGTTCCCGTCGTTTTCGTGTGATTCGCCTCGTCGTGCGGCTGATCGAGCGATTGCGAAAAGGGTTGCCATCATTTGTCTCGTTGCTCGCTAAATTGCTTACATGCGGTTTATCAGGCACGTAGCCAGGTTTCGGAAGGGAGGCATGCGGCCCGCCCCCCCCCCCCCCCCCCCCCAAAAAAAAAAATATCTTCCATTTTGCTGGGGCCTCCTCTCCCCCCTACCCCTCATACAGCATTTTGCAATGGGCGAGCCTAGGGTGCCTACATGTTTCCGCCGCTCCGCTGTTTAGGGTGGCGACAACGTCTGTGATACCTGTTGCCGACAAACCAGTGTTGCCTACCTCGTTACCATGGCAGCCTCCGCTGTTTCGTCGACCATTTTGTCACACTTGCCAGTCATGCGCTCGCGCTACTCCGCTAATCCTCGTTAGGGCTAGGGAGCGCCCACCGCTCTCGTTCTGACGGCGAGGTTTCGGCGTGCGATGCCGGTCTGTTGCGTTCCATTTTGTCGAGGGGACTCACGTTTCGATAAACGCAACGCGTACTTCCTGCTCGCAACTTCAAAATATGAAACACCCGAATAAAGAAAGCGACAGCCACGACGACCGCCATCCCGCTAAGCCTCCGACTCGCCCGACTCCTCTTATGAACGGAAACGGAAGTGGCCTCACAGTGTTGCCGGTGTGTCGAAACTATGAAAACTCAACGTTGTGTACGTTTAGCCAAATAAGAAGTGGGTCAAAATGGCGGTGGGAGAGGATCTGGGAAAGGGTAACAAGAAGTTGGCGCCACCCTAAAGCGGAGCGGAAACATGTAGGCACCCTAGGCGAGCCCCCCCCCCCCCCCCCCCCCTCTCCTCCCCCGCCCCCCTTCCGAAACAAAATCCTGGCTACAAGCCTGCGGTTTATACTTTATGGTTGTCGGCACTTGCGAAAATGTGAAGCTTGAATTTTATCGAGGGCTTTGCCCTTGCTGACTGTCAGACTGGTGGGAAAACTTTGGGTTCCAGAGAAATACCACCACATGATTTCTCGCTTGCTTATGAAGTGAGGAGGTGGTGGTTTCAAAATCAGTTCATGGTCTTTAGAGGAAGTTGTTTAAAACACCTTTTTTTCTGTTTCTGTTGTCACTACTCAATGCGCGTTTTTGTTTTTTCTTCCAACCTTCTCAATCAAGTACTGCCAGAGGGTTAGTAAATAAGCGCAACATATACAGGATTTTGTATAGAAAGTCAGTGCCCCAGTCGAAAAAGAACTCTTTATACTTTCCGCAAACAACATCATCAATACAAACCCTACTTTTAAAGGCGCACGTCACGCATTGTTTCGAGCAGTTTCCGAAAACAAAAAACGAACTAGAATCCAACCCCCCACAGTGGAAGCGAATACGCGCGCCAGCACGCTAACGGGTACTTTTACCAGTCATGGGTTCTGCAAAACACACCGCCTAGCTAGGCGATACCAAGACACCACGCGATTTGCAGCAGTCAAGCCTTG